GAAGATTTCGCATTGCAGTCACGATTTCCACAAGGTGTCGCGGCATTGTGAAACCAATGTCACCAAGCAAGTTGCAACTTCATTTCGAACACCTTTTCACGATTATGAACTGTTCAATTGATATCTCAAGGTCTAAATCTCCTTGCAAGGTGAACAAAAGGTGATTCGCACTGTTGAGTAGGCCGTATCCATCTATTATTATCGGTTGTATGGACAGTGGGTGTGCGTGGACTACATTGTGATGGATCGCGTCTCCCCTCTGCGGATGTCCAGAGCGGCGATAGCGAATTACGTCTTATTTATTTGATACACAACAAGTTGACAAATAGTTATGATTTAAGGTCTACTAGATATATAGAGTAAAAACAAAATAATAGTTTAACATCTTATTCATAAGTCTGTAAAACTTCACAGCTGCAAACTTTTATACGTGGTAGAGCCGCGGTGCAATTTTTTTTATATAATAAGGGTGACAAACGAGCACACAGTCCACCTGATGGTAAGTGGTTGCTGCGCCCCATAGACTTCTACATTTATCCTCGATTAAGAATCAAAACGCAGATGCATGGTCACCTCTGAGGACTAAGAAGGAATGCCTCGTTGCCAGTAAAAAAAGGTCTACGGTACACTCACCTCCAGAAACACAGCAGTATTAAGCTGCTATTTTACGCTGGGATTCTGTGAGGGTGAGGTCTTTTCCCCGTTCGAGCCGACCCATTCTTCAACCATAATATAGCTGCAGCGTGGCTCCACCACGTATGTGGTATGTTATGGTTGTATCATGAATGAGTCGACTCGACCGGGGAAGGGCAATGCTTTTGCGGAATTGAAACATTGCGTTGGAACAGCTAAATGGTGATATAGAGAACCGTCGTATAAGTCTTACTTATGAGCCGAAATATATTGTTTTATTATTATTACAGATTTTGAATATTAATTTTACTTTTAACTGAAGGTAGCCGGACTAACTATGACATTGGGACGTTAAACATCTCAGTCCCCCCCGTGACCATGGTTGCTGTAAAGCACCCGAAACGTCGGAAATTAAAAATAAGTAAAAGTAGTGAAATAAACGCGATAAAATCCGTAAATTTAGTTTTATTCAATGTGTAGTGTTCGCGTAAATTTAAGAAATCATTATAAAACTAAAAATTTAAATTTTCATAAAGTCCTGCTCCCCATGGTATAGTGCCAAGAACGCTGGCTGCGTTTCTTCGCTGAATTGCTATACTTAGTCTTTGAGCGAGGAAAGAACCAGCCCTCTTATCACCAGCAGCGTTGACCAGCCGTGGATACAGTTCCTTTAGGAACTTCACTGCACGTGGACTCCACGGACCGATAGTCTCTACAGCAAATGGCACAAATATGTAGTCATTGCTCAAAGACTCATATTTGACTTTATGAGTTTATTTATTTATTTATTCTTTTTTGTACACCACAATACAGAAACATCAATATAGTTAAAACTAATTAAAGTATGTACAATAGGCGGTCTTATCACTGAAAGTGATTTCTTTCAGACAACTTTTGCGTAGAGGAATGTTGCAAACAAAGGTTACAAATAGAGGGGGGGGCATACAAAATAATAATAATAATAAAAAAAATACAATAATAAATACAAATAAATATAAGTGAAAGTTATATATAAAATATCATATAATAGATTAAATGAAAAGAGTACGAGAAAGGTAAAGTAATTTATCTAATAGCGTTCTAAATAATACGATTTAACAAGACTTTTGAAAGAGTGAAGAGATTTAGCACGACGAATATGGAGAGGTAAGGAGTTCCACAATCGCACAGCGGTTACGGTGAAGGATTTCTTGAAAAAGGAAGAAGAGTGCAAAGGTGTAGAGAGAGAAATATTGACGGAGGATCGAAGGAACCGATTATGGGTAAGAGAAAGATACTGGAAACGGTTTTTTAAATAAAGAAGAGTAGAAGGATTAAACAGCACACTATACAACGCGGAGAGAATGAGTTATATGAGTATTAGATTTAATGTTAGCTTTGCTTATATACTTAATGATTATAAGTTATAATATAGGTACCTAAATATTAACTCATGTGGCTCCGACAGAATATCAGCGCTGCGGTAACTCGGTTACTGTAGTATTGTGCTGAGTCGGTGGCCCATGTGCTGTTGCAATCAACTTTCTTTCTTATATTTTATTAAAAACTGATGTTCTGCAAGTTGCAGTAGTGAATGTTAATGTTATTTCGTTCTTTTTGATTTTTAAGAGAAGGCAGGATTCCTCAAAATGTTTTCCTTCACCTCTGACCATATGGTAAATCAGCGTTTAAGTTGCAATTAACAATTTTATTGATGCCCGAGTAAATCGAACTCCTGCATGCTGTGAAATTAATTGTTCAACCACGGCTCTCACTATTTATAGCTTGAATAATAATAAAAGCTCGCTAATATTAAGAGAATTATTGTTATAACAACTCTCTATAAAAAAAATTAGGATAGGGTGAGAAACGGGTACACAGTCTACCTGACGGTAAGTGGTTGCTGTGGCCCATGAACATCTACATCTATCCTCGATTACAAATCAAAATGCAGATGCGTTGACACCCGGGAGAAGTAAGATGCAATGCCTCGTCTCCAGTAAAAAGGTTCTTCGGATCTCTACACTCACCATGCGAAACACAGTAGTATTAAGCTACTATTTCACGCTGGTATCCTGTGAGAGCGTGGTCCTTCCCCGGTCGAGCCGACCAATTCGTGCTACAACTATACTACTAATATAACTGCAGCATGGCTCTACCACGTATAAAAAAAATTAAATTTATATTCTATTATAAATATAATATAATGTAAGTAAATATATCTACTATAATTATAATGAGCCGTGGTAGCTCAGATGGTTTTCGCTCGCTGTAAATATCACAGTATGCGAGCAAACCGGGTTCGATCCCCGCCGGTACCAATGAAGTTGTTAATTGCAATTTTAAGTGCTGATTTACCACGTGCTCGGCGGTGAAGGAAAACATCTTGAGGAAACCTGGAACCTGGAAAAGGAAAAAATATATTTCGAAGATATGTGAAGTTCGTTAACACCCTTTCCGAAATGAGGGGAGGCCTGTACCCAGCAGCGGGACGTATATAGGCTGTAACTTTACTTTTACTTTTATAAATGTAATAAAGAGTTTATTAATTTTGTTAATAAATAACATTTGTTGCTTATTTAGCATGACAGTACAATACTCTATGCAACATACAAATCCAAATAAACTGTTATGATCACGCTTTTGCCACGTGAAGTACGTACTTGCACAAATTTTAATATGAAATGCATGAATATATAATTGCAGCCATAGGTAGTAATACCAGTAAAAACTTGTTATCGCTACACCATATCGGAGTGTTCATTACTGCAAGAGTAAAGAAAATATAGATCGTTTTAAATGAAAACATAGGACTAAATAATATTTGCTTTGACATAGTTCGCAAAATAACTCGAGTTCGTTCACCTATATCCTATAAGGTTGCCAACTGTGATATAAGTATGAAAAATCAAAGAGTTACATTAAGTAAAGTAAAAATTAAGTAAGTTGTACATGGTAGTCACACTGAAGCTATATTACGGTTGTATACGCAGATATTTTTCTTCTATGCTGATTGCGTGGTTAATCAGTATTTAAAATTGCAATTAAATATTTCGTTTGTTTCTGTGGTAATTGAACCTGGGTTGCTAGCGAACTGCTAGTTTTACGGCGAACACTTTTCTCCTATGCTACCACAATCATCAATGTTATAATAACTGCGCTCCTCATTCTTTCATCCACAGTTATGAAATCTATCATGCTTCTATCATCACCTCTTTCCCAAGTATACATGTGAATCTTCTTATGACGAAAGAAAGTGTTCGTCACAAAAAGATTCCTTTCCACACATACGGTGAGGAGGCTTTCACCATTCTCATTTACACTTTCATCACCAAACGTTCCCAATATCCTTTCATAACCAAGCCTCCACACCCCAACCCTTCCATTAAAATCTCCTAGCATAATAATATTTTCATTTCCCTTACACTTCATTAACACCATCCTTACCATTTCCCAAAACTGCTCCCGGATATAAGTGGGCTTAGACATGTCTGGGGCGTAGACCCCTAACACAAACAACTTCTTTAAGCCCACTTTTCATTCGTATCCATAGCAGTCATCTGTTATAATAACATTGATGGTTATTTGACGAAATCCAATATTATTTTTTTATTTACAGTTCTAGATAACAATTTCCACAAGTTTAGAAATTTTCCTAGTATCGAAAATAGTCATCTAATAAAATAAAATAAATATTAAAATAGGACGTGGACAAGTGGCTTACACTTCTTTTTTAATAATAAAAAAATTAGAATAAAATTTAAAATAAACATACTTTACAAATAAATTAAATGTTAAATACATTTTATTTCCTTTAGGGCTTCACGATAATTAGTTGAATGTACCCTAAAAGGAGCGTTTTCCTTTGTCGCAGGTCCAAGTGAAGACTTGTCGCGGTACCACGGTCCAACGCTGTTGGATTAAAATCAAAGCCTGGATCAAGTGCTGTGGCCACTGCGCCCGCGCCTCGCCGCCACTCCTCCGCCACCCGTCGACCAGCGCGGACGTGTTGCGGTCACCTCCTGTATTACTTTCGAAATAGTGTCTCGATATTGTATTGCAACCCCAATCACCTGTGACTCGCAAGTCTTGTAACAGTCCACTTCCATCTAAAAGAAACTAAGAGTTTTTATGTGAACGTTTCTCCAAACAAACAAGTGCATCCAGTGGTAGAGAAGGCTACATTCCAAACCGGTGTCGTTCTTTAATGGACAAAGTGTGTATGTACTATGTGTGTGTTTTAATATTAAGCTGGGAAGTGACTGGTTTAAGTGTCCATGCTTGGTGTGTATAGAAGCGAAAGCTCCTCGAGCAGTCTGTACGAATCGTGATAAAGAGACCAGCAGAATGTAATATTCCATAAAACTTTTCATTCGCCGAAAACAAAAATGGCTCGCGGATCCCTCAGCGAAAATGAGCGTCTCTGTTTGGATGTGAACGCAAAATCTCAGCCAGAGAGGCTGCAAGAGACGGAAAAAGTGCTGGGCGATGGCAAATCTAACGGTCTCCGGGTACGTTTCCTGGACGAAGAAGGAAAAACTGAAAGAACAGTAAGCGCCGATGAGGTTGATTGCGCAGTTACTCGCGTTAAGAAAATACATATTCTTAAAAATAGAAGCTCAAGTGAAACGAGTATTTTATTGAGAAATCCATCTCTTGCTAAAAGACGTTCCCACTCTGAGCGCCGTTTCAGTGACGGACAAACAGACAGTCTTAATAATAATTCTCTCAGTGAAAACCTTAATGGTAAGATAACGATTAAAAATGATTTAGACAAGACTGACCTCGGCGCAGATAATACCAAAGATTCGAGCCAGAGCTTTAAGAAAAATTGCAATGTCTATAGTGTAAACCAAGCAAAGACTCTCACTCCCGAGCGTAAAAAATCGATTCCTCGGGGAATCCCGAAATTAATAGGTCACAAAGAAACCGCGCAAAATAAATCGATTCTCCCGGCTGAGGTTTGCTTGGCTGACAATGCGTCAGGAAAAGACTTCACCGCTCGTGCAATAGGAAGGTTGTCGAGAGGACTTGGGAAGTTATTGCGACGATCAAACAGTGTCAAAATTAGCGAACCAGATCCAGTCTACAAGGTGGCCTATCTAGGAAATGTCCTTACAGGCTGGGCACGAGGTAAGCGACTTTACTTCATATCAATGTAAGCCATTTCACAGATATGATATTGATATAAAACAATTATTAGAAAAAAGTCATATCTTAAAGCCAATAACGTACTATTCTTAGTACGTTCATGCTTAAAAGCAAATAGTTTTATTATCAGCGGTGACTCGAAATATGAAACAAATAAATTGCTAATAATATACATTGGTTCCAAAATAATAAATAAAAAGATATTTTGTTAATAAAATGCTTACATACAATATACAAATGGCTCAAAAACCAAACTTATTAAATATTAGGTGACTTAAATTAATGCCCTGTGACATACCTTTTGCTAAGATAATAAGGTAAAAGCTAGAAGACTAAGAAATTAAATTGCATACTTTATATATAAAAATACTATTTTTTAATTTTATAAAAAAACTAGTTATTCACTCCGTCTTCGCATGGTCGCGATATGCCAGTGCGATAACAAATTGCATTGAGTCTTTGATTACATAACGTCAACATTTCTCTACTCTGCTTACATAAAATATACTTATTTTACGTTGCTCATTAAATCCCTTATTTAATCTCTTTACACAAAGATTTATTATTAGTTCTTACGCATGACGAATAGAATTATAAACCTAACACTGTATTTGATTAGGATTCGAGGAGCAAATATGATATCTTGAGCCAACACGAACAGAAGTTTGCTCAAACCTACTACCAAAATGAACGATCATAATTCCATGATCTGAAACGGAGGTTAACTTTTAAGTAGTTCAAGGCAACACCGGCGCAGCTGAGCGATTTTGTCTCTTAACTCGCGAATTTAAATTGAACAAGGAATCATTCGCAAAAACAAATAATAATGTTTGTCGTTTTCATGTCTATAAATTTTCCTTCGCGGAATTTAAATTTGGATTTTTTTAAATATTTTTTTATAGGGTGACAAACTAGCACACTGTCCATCTGATGGTGAGTGGTTGCTGTGGCCCATAGACATCTACATCTATCCTCGATTACAAATCAAAATGCAGATGCGTTGTCACCAGTGAGAACTAAGATTGAATGTTAGTCCTCAGGGGTGACAACGCATCTGCTTTTTGATTCTTAATTGAAGATGTCTATACTTACTTACTTACTTACTTATCTTCACGCACAATCCCTAACGGGGTAGCAAGAGAAAATGTAATCCTTACATACCTCTTTTGATCGAAGATGTCTATGGGCCACAGTATCCACTTACCATCAGGTGGACTGTGTGCTCGTTAGTCACCCTTATTCTATAAAAAAAAGAGTATTGCTTAGGTCTAAGCCAAATTAATAACGTTTTTTTTAAATAAAGGAAAATTGTTGACATCAGTAGTAGAATATTGAAAGTGAGAAAATATTCTAACGTATCTAATTAGCTAAATTTTGCAATTTCAAGATGGCTATTTGATACTGCTATTTCCTAATGAAATATTTAGAGCGAAAAGTAATCAACATACGACAGACTTTCATTTCTTGCAGTGTTTGCTGGATCCGATATAATAACATGCTCTACGTTGCTTACCTGATTACTCGAATATCATAAGAAGGTTTCAATTTTATTAAATTGGTTAATTATTTTCATTGATTCCAACTTCGTTTTTAAAGTGGAAGTAAGTGAAAGGCTTTTCAAATAATTTACAAAAATATCATGCTATTTCTTTGGAAATACACATAGAGGTTTCCGAAATGCGTTTACAAAACAGAATTTGTCCTACTAAATATAATTTAGTAAGTGGTTTATTTACGAGCTTGTGTATGAACAAAGGTTTTAATTTAATAATAATTACAGGGTTTATGTTTTGTTTATTTAACACTTTTTACTGTGCTATATTTTAATTAAAACTACATTTAGGGATTTAAACGATGCTTTTGTGACAAATTTAATTATGCTGTACTCCATATTTTACTTTTTTGTATTCTAAATTCTAAATTCTTTTACATAATGTCTTAGCTAAATATAATTACTCGTAATCATTAGGATTTTTTTATAGGATAGGGTGACAAACGAGCACACAGTCCACCTGATGGTAAGTGGTTGCTGTAACCCATAGACATCTACATCTATCCTCGATTACGAATCAAAATGCAGATGCGTTATCACCTGTGAGGACTAAGATGGAATGCCTCGTTTCCAGTAAAAATGGTCTCCGGTTCTCTACACTCACCCTACGAAACAGAACAGCACTAAGATACTATTTTACGCTGGTATTCTGTAACAACGTGGTCCTTCCCCGGTCGAGCCGACCCATTCGTGCTACAACTGTACTACTAATATAACTGCAGCATGGCTCTACCACGTATAAAAATGTAAATTTTATTTAAAAATTTAAATGCAGGGTTTATAATTATTTTTAAGAGGTTTAAAGACGGGATATTTATAATAATATACATAAAATATCCGACATATTGCGTATAACTCGTGTTTTTATATAAAAGGCGTGCATATAGATAAGACGTATTCATTTTCCCTAAGTCGCATGCTATGAAACTCATGGAATGATGTGGTTTATATCGCCACCGCCAGCTTTGTTTTCGTAAAACCAATTGAAATGTTAGTTTCTGTGAGATCAGTCAAAATATTTGTATTTAGAATTTAATTTCATAATAGCATAGATGTATTTATTTACATGTCCCTACTAATATATACGTGATAGAGCCATGCTGCGGCAATATGGTTTTAGCACTCGACCGGGGAAGGACTACGCTCTCACATAATAAGAGCAAAATAGCAATTGAACACCACCGTATTTCGTTGTTTTGTAAGTGTGGAGAAAACTCGATTGCTTAAAAATTCAACTTAAAAGAGACAAGTTTTATATTCTATGTCATTTCTACAACTAAAGCGGGCTACATACGACACGATATCGGTGGCGATCTAGGGTGGAGTAGTGGGGATGCCTCCTAGATTGCCTCTAAATCGTGTCGTATGTAGAGCCATCCTAAGTCGTAGCCGATATCGCCTCCTTAATCGGCTGGCAGGAGCAAAAATGCTTCCTAGATCAGCCGATGCTTCCTAGATCGGGGCACCGCCCCCTCCTTACTGCGTGTGTGTAGGCGCATCGGCCCGATTTCTTTTGGCAGTCGCTGCCGGCAACCCTCGCGGAAGGAAGTTAACAAAACAGTGATACTGAATGACCTTTTTTATGTAACAAAATTTTTACATTTTAATCATATAAATGGAGCAGAAGCCTATGGCACTGATATTTTACAAAAAACCAGAAAAAAAGTGAATAAAATAAATAAATTAAATGAAATTTTATCGAAATTCAAATCATATCCACCCTAGCCTGTGACTCTGCGAAGTGACATGGTCAAGAATGCCTACTAAACTAATTTTTTATTGCCGTTCGTAAAGTAGAGTGTATGATGTAAGTAAGGAGAAGATAAAGCCTCTCCTCAACAACTAACTCCTATTCCAACACTATCAACACAAGACCGCACTCATATCTCTTACAACTCCACAAGACCAAAATTCGATCTCTTACGTGCCTTCATCCTCTTATAAACAACTAACTTCTACTCCTTCACCATCTCCACATCAACAAACAAGTTATATAAAAGGGAGTATGTCCGAAATTAAAGGTTTCTTTATGTTTAAAAAAAAGATATAAGCTATTTTATTTTCTCATAGTTTTACTCCATAAATAAAGATTACATTAAAAAAAAGTATACATATTATTATACAAAAGTATTTTATTTCCTTGTTTGTTGTGTGTAATACATAACCAGATTTTGACCAAAGCAGAAATGAACAAAGAGAAGAAATAACTAAATAGCATAGGTACATAGGAGAAATTGATGTTTTTATATAAGTGGAGAAACCATTTCTAGAAGGTTATAAAAACTGTCTTCATCCATCCGGAGAAAATTAATCATGTCTTTGGAATACAGATCATTTAGTACGTTTATGTGGCTTAATTTTTGTCTCTTTTGGAGCCATTTTTTCACCCAGCAACTCCTCTTTTTCTATTTTCGAATAAATTTACCGAGAGGGCTAATGCCAAACCAATACATTGGTGTTTTAAGAGAGTTGAAGCTATTTTGAAGAACTCTACCGCATATGTGTTCCGCTCCAAGTCCGAACGCGTACTGCTAGGCAGACCCGTGTGTAGGGTCTGCCCCGATAAAAGCCCCGATTTCTTTCCACCCTAGATCGCCACCGATATCGTCTCGTGTGTAGCCCGTTTAAGCCAATTCGAACGATACCCCATGTGTTAGATCAAGACATTTAGGCTAGCTACAGAGCGCGCCAACGAAATAAATATACTCGCCTCTATATATAGTTTCATGAATCTATGGCTATAACCTACAATGTACTAAGGTAACATAATCAAAGCGCAGTTCTTAATACTTATACAGTAATAATATTCTCCAGACCGAATCGGTCACGGTGGCCAGCCTCAACGGAAGCTAGCCATCGGCGCAGGACTATAGTGCCAAAGTGTATGCGCAAGCACAGGTGCACTATCTATTCCCTCACTCTCATAACCCGATGGGACGATAAACCGACACGACCGGAGAGAGATCAGGTGCAGGACCAACGGCTTTACGTGCTTTCCGAGGCACGGGGGTCAGCAACCGCCAACTTCCTGACTCCGGGCAGCTACTGAAAATTTCTTGACGGAAAAACTCTATAATTGATTATTTTTTTGGCCCGACCCGGGATTCGATCCCAGGACCTCGTGATCAGCAGTCGCACTACTACAACCACTAGACCAACGAGGCAGTCAAAACTTATACAGTATAGTAAATATAAACTTTTAAAACAGAATGTGGGACAACTATCTTCATTCACACGGATTAGATATCCACTTGTTTGTAAAATTCGATAAAACACGTCTCTAGCAGCGCAATCGTGTGAACACATCATAGCGTCCCATTTCATACACGATAGCGAATTGATTCGACTAGTCTCTGATTGCTAGGATTTGTAAAGATGTTTATGTAATCATGTTAATAACAATATACACGTTGACACGTTCATCTGACTA